CTGAAGAAAGCAGACTGACTTTTAACATATGAAGGTCTTAGAAGTTTTATTCTGTTGATCAGCCAGTTAAGCAATTAATTGTGAAATTCCTAAGACTTCATCTGTATCTAAAATACCAGGATTTCCCAAGTAAGCAGATTTCTGATTTTTTTTTCATCCTAGCATGTGTTTAGGACTTAGCAATATATTGGGACTTTATAGGAGATGCCATGAGAAAGTAAAGGTGAGAATTACATTTAACATTGAAAGCCAGGTAAGCTGTCTTACCCTCATAGTGCTTATGTAGGGAGTTTGGATGGAAAACCTATAGTTATGAATTTGCACCTTGCTTAATCTGTGATAATTTTTCCCTATATGGCAACCCTTAATGTCAAGGCTGTGTTGCTGTCTGCTGCATATGATACACAGCATAAATGTCTAATACCAGAATTTATGAATTCTTATGTTGGATTTTCTACTTGCTCAGTTTGTCTTGTGGAAATCACTTTTGTATCAATTTATGTCTCATTTGCTATAGCACATCAAGTAGGAGCATAATAATCACTATCTATATATGCTATGTAATGTCTGCATTACAGATGTATTAGAAGAAGCAAGTATATTGTGCAGTGCTTTGAACTCCTCATATTACTTCATTATATCACCATGAATTTAGAATTACATATCTAATGTATGTTTTCTTTCTCATTTTTCAGATGTTCAACTTGCCCATGGCTCTTCTCATTCCCCCCTCAGTGTTTGCTGTTCATTTACAGTTTAATCTGCTTTACCAGTTTTGGATACACACAGAGGTAAACCAGGTTTTTAAGCCATACCTAAACAGTTAGCCTGGAGCAGTGTCTTGGAAATCCACTAGCAGCTGATTTATTGTGTAAGAAAAATCTTTGTCTGACTTCTTTAAGGAGAAACATCTGTTCATTTTTATTCCTTTTCTGAATATATATTGCTAAGTTTATAAGAAGCAATGAGGCCAGTTGGTCCCAATTAGATTTAGAAAAAAAAAAGTAACTGTAAGGAATCAAAACTTTTTGCTATTTTAATACTGTATTTTCCTATCTTGCAGCTTATTAAACATTTTTAGCAGATACTGAAACTAATTTCATTTCTAGGATAAATATTTTAGGAAAAAATACCCAAAAGTTGGTGCTTCTTAAAGATCATTTAGAGTTGTAACTGAAGTTAGATATTGTTTCTTTCTTAATACAAGTAATTCTCACATGAAGAATGCTCCATGATTATCTGATGGCTATTTGTTTATGACTACACCACTTCATTTCTGTTTTGTGAGTGTATAGACCATATCTAGTTTACATACATACATAGTTAATAACACACTGTAATTAGCAGGATGTTTCCCACACTTCTCAGGTAGTTCAGTGGCCTTTGCCTTCTTCCTTGCACTGCAATAGAGATATTTAAAGATACTTTATGTTATAAGTCAGTAGCATATTTGTCAGTAGCCCCAGGTGGGTTGTGGACTAATTATTTCTGTGACACTTACTCCTTTGTTTAAACTGCCTAGACAGATGCATTTTCCTCTCTAATTTCATGATGCAACATATAGGACAGTTCTTTTGGAAACGACTTTTGTTTTCTTGATCTTTTATGTGATTGGGTTGTTTAAATTTCAGTTTTTTCTTTTATTTTTTCTGTGTATTTCATTAAAAAAAAAGAATTAAAAAATTAAAAATCAGATAGTTATGGTGGACCAATAGCAAACTTTGATTGTTGATGTTTTGTTTCTGTTGGACACGTTTTCTAAAATCATTACCATATGTCTGATGATCTAAAACACCACATGAATAGGAAAGGCATAGATAAAATGTCACACATATCACCAGAAGTAGCATGAACTGAAGCAATACACATTTAAGCTTTTAAAAATATTTTGAAAAAATTCAAGCACTCTTTGAAACTATACCAAATGAACACTAGGCCTCATATGGTAGCAAAGTTTCTTCGACCATGCTTTAAGGCTCTACAAATTGGTTTAGTATGCTTTGCCATGAAAAAAGTTATGATATGCCTTATCTATGTCTTCTCTGGTGTTTGAAGCCATCTCTTCCTTGGCTGAGAGGTTTCTAATGTTCTGCTGTGTAGCAGTAACTCAGCACTGGTGCCACAGTGCACAGCTAAAGTTTCTAAAGTGAGTTTCAGAGGCTTATGAATTGCCTACATCCCTCTAAAGTGCTTATTCCTTCGTAGGGCTTAAAAGGAATTTCCATAGCATATGTGCCAAGTTTAGACACGAGTCTAAACAAGAATGAATTTCAGTCTCAATGAAAAGATAAGCACTCCTTACTATTAAATTATTGTGCTGGTAGAAAAACAATGGATCTTTTGTATTAATCCAGTTGATCCACTCATAGAACTTCGCTTACAAGGGAAGTTATTCTTAATGTTGATATTGTTGATTTTATAGCACAGCTGAAATCAGTTGAAATATGTTGGAGTCATGCTCTGAGGTCAAAAATTATGTCAAAATAGAAATAGGGTTACACCATGTATTAGCAGATTTCCTGCTCTCAAGGGCAAGGCATTGACAGAAAAAAAGTAAGGAAAGGAAAGGAAATGGTATCAGCCATTCAGGCTTATGTTACCTTATATTTTTTGTGAAATTAATAGACATATTTTATGATTATTCACCATTATATGGGGTTTTATTTGCAACAGCTATCACAATTTAACCGTTTAAAGCTATTGCTGCTCTTTTTTCCCCCTGATGGTTCTTTTCTGAATTTTAATGATCCTAATTATCTTATAAAGATTATAATGGTATGAAAATCCTTTCTTCAAGTCTCTGTTTCTGTCAGTTTACTAGCATACAGAATTTGTTCAGGGCTGTAGCCTGGGGTTCTATAGCAGTGTCCTGTCTCAGTAAGTGCTGCTAGTCCTTGCTCTGAGAGCAGAAACTTATCATCCCCTAGCAGCTCTGGTGTCTCCTGGGAACCCATTCTAAGGGTGCTGTTACATGTCCTTAGGGGTCTAGGGGAGATCCACTTCATTAGTTCCATTCTGCCAATGCAATGTTATAGTAATGTAATAGTTTGCTTCTAAAATAAAGGACCCATTTATAACTGTTTTTTTTTTTTCCCCCCCCACAGATTTCTATTGCTTTTCTTCAGTGTCAATTTCTTGATACAGTTTGGTCCCACATTGACTAGTCAAAGATGTTTGGAAATTGTTATTTCACAACTTTTGATTGCATGTCTTTCTCTTTAGGAAAAAATAAAGAGAATATACTAGTCAGAGGAGGAAAAAAATCTCTTTCCCTTGATAGATGGTGGTTTGCTTTTTTTTTTTTTTACACAGGACTTAAAAGGAAAGTACATGCAGAATTTTTTGGTTTGTAAAAGAAAAAAAAGGTGTATGTAAGTAATAGGAAAGAATTTAAGTACATGTAAAAGTTTCTGAGGGAAGATGTTTTGCTTTGAGAATAATTTAAATTGAATTCAGTAATTACAAAAGAACGATCATGCTGTGCTGAAACTTTCTATGCTGTTTTTCAACCTAGAGCAAAAGCTTATAGCCAAATACAATCCCTGGTATTTTCCTACACTTAAATTTTACATGTGTCCAGTGTTGTTTTAAACAATATTAAGAGATGTTTCCTGTGCCATAGCTTTGACCTGTCTCATTATTTGTTATGTCAGTTTTTGTCCAGCTTTATTACCAGCAGATCAGACATGGTCTATTTTATTTTAACTCAAGTGACTCATATATTCTTGTGACTACAGTATCATAAAGATCAAAAGTACACATTTGTTCTACCTCATTTAGACTTCTGTATTTTCTACATGCTTGATATGCATTAGTTTTTGTCATTTTATATGGAATAGTAGAGCTCTATAAATCTTATACAAAAATTATACTATTATTGTGGTTCTGGATTCTTTTACAATTGTTTAGTATTAAAACGGTCTATTGATACAGGAAAGGCATGCCTGAAATTAATAAAGTTGTGTATGCTAGAGTGAAAATACAACCTTGAGACTTATGTCATGCATTTGTGTTCAACTGCTTTTTTTTCTCTGCATCCTGGATCAATGGACCAAGACCAGAGATATGAGATTCAAAACCGAGTGCCAGGTCTTGCATTTTGATTACAGCCACCCCATGGAGGGCTACAGGCAGGAGGAAGAGTGGCTGGAAATCAGCCAAGCAGAGAAAAATATGGGGGTGCTGCTTGACAGCAGCTGAACATGAGCCAGTTTGTGTGCCCAGGTGGCCAAAAAGGCTAATGGCATCCTGGCCTTGATCAGCAATAGTGTGGCAGCAGGACCAGGGCATTGGTGAGGCCACACCTTGAATCCTGTGTCAAGGTCTGGGTCCCTCACCACAAGACATTGAGGTGCTGGAGCACGTCCAGAGAAGGACAATGGAGCTGGGGAAGGGTCTGGTGCACAAGCCTTACGAGAGCAACTGAGGGAGCTGGGGGTGTTTAACCTGGAGAAGAGGAGGCTCGGGGGGGCCTTATCCCTCTCTACAAGTGCCTGAAAGGAAGCTGCAATGTGGGAGGAGTTTTCTTCTCTAGGGCAACCAGTGGCAGAACCAGGGGAAATGGCCTCAAGCTGTGCTAGAGGATATTCAGGTTGAACATAATGAAAAATTTATTAATTTGGTTTGGTTAAGTATTGGAACGGGCTTCCAAGGAAGTGGTGGAGTCACCATCCCTGGAAGTGTTCAAGAAATGACTGGACATGACACTTAGTGCTATTGTAAAATGATGTGGTGGTGTTCAGTCAAAGGTAGGAGTTTATGGTCTTATAGGTCTTTTCCAACCTTAATGATTCTATGAATATTGCACCATGTACATGACAATCTGAAATTATATCAGGATTTTGTCTAAGGATTTAAAATAAATCTCTAAGTAGCACCAAAGCATTGAAATAAATGCCTAGTAATTTATTTAAATGAAAAATTAAGAAAAAAAAGATAACTCAAGAAGACCCCTGAGGAAGACATTTGACAGTGATGGGTTAACTATTGGACTTGATGATCTTAAAGTTCTTTTCCAATCTAAATGATTCAATGGTTCTGTGATCTCAATAAATCAAGAAAAAAATATTTTTTGTTCTATCCGGTACCGTTCAGGTCAATTGAATGGTTCAGATCTCCTCTTAAATAGTCTGGGAGAAATGCTTCTGTGACATGACAGATCATTCTCATCTAGATCATAAGGGAAGTAAAAAAACTTTAGTCAAAGGGCACTAAAAAACTAATTTTTCAAAAGCCACAGAATGTTTCAGGACTGTTACTGACAGACAGAAATACTCCATTTCAATTTATTTTCTCAGGTGATTCAGAAGGTCTATGGCTTATATTAAACTATATCCTTCCATTATGCATTTATTACAACCAATAAGTTAGGTGTGTTTATAACCTGATAGAGACACCTGTGAAAAACAGAAATTAATTTCTGTTGGTTTAGCTGTAATTTTTATGAGATGTCAAACTGTATTTAGAAAGTATCAACTGATCCAGTCCCTGGTGGTAGTAATTGCAGCAGCGGATTATTCCTTGCCTATTTGATCTTTGACATGTATTGGTTTCTGTTTAATTTTCTAATTTAAGGAAAGAATATGATCTACCCTTTAGCATACTCACAGAAGTCAGATTTTTAAGGCATCTCTTTTCACCTGGTTTAAATCTTTCTACCTCATCCTGCTCTGGGAGCAGAAAAAGGTGAGCCACAGCTATTAACCATTTAACATGGGTGAAAACAGGTGAGGAATGGGAATAATTTTAGCAAGACCTCATGCAGACTGGAAAGAGAAGCATAAAATTTCTA